CAATGCACAGGATCTAATGCTAACTCTAAATATGTAAAATAAAATGTAGAACTGAGTAATTACCTGAGTAAAGTGAGCTTAAATATGTTTTATCTGCAATATTCAGTTATATTCAAGATTATGCTCTTGGTTATTGCTACAAGTTTTTTCCCCAGTATATCTTAGCACACGCCAAAACATTATTTTGTTAGTTAAAATATGCAAATTTTTAGAATACATGCGTGTTAATTCACTTTGAAAAAGTGGAATATCAAAATTAAAAATAAATTATATCTGGGTCTATAATTTTTTTAACTTATGTTAAATGAATGCCACAATGTATGCATTTTCCGCATCGGTGATGCCTAGGACATAATGAAGTTTAACTGGAGTCGAAACCCCAGCATAATTCACACTCACCTGTATATATTTTACCAATATTTTATGCATAATAGAAACTTACTTTAGTCAAAAATTCAAAGTAATATTTAGACAGAAAGTTTACCTTATTAGCTTCATGTTAATGTGGAAATGTTCTTTGATAAACACATGAAAATGAGTAAGAATTCAGTTAATATTATTACATATCTCTAACTTAGATCATATTTGTAACCATTATAAAAGTATTTTGCTTTCAACTTTTGCTTTCAACTTTATCTCTATGGTTAAAATTTGATAGTTACTAAATTTTTAAGAATTGCCTAAGAGACTGTTATAGAACAATCCAGATAATTTTTTGAAGATCAAAATACACCTTCACTAAACAAAACTTATTTCACACTCTGTATGACTTTGAATGCAGCTTGAAAAAATAATTCTGTGTTTAGAGATATCATGATTATGGTGCCAACATTTCAGAAAACAAATACATTTAAAGAAACTTGAAGTATTTTATGGGCTTTATTCCTTATCTTATCTTTGTTTAGGATTCAGAGAAACTTAACCCATAAACATAAGATATATCATTGTGGCTGTGTTAATGAAAGTCACTCAGAGTCAAGCTTATAGTACCTCTTAGTTCTTGACTTAATCAGACTATCAGAATATACTTAAGTTGGAAAATCAGTTCACAGCTATCTAAAAGATTTGTCTGTCTGGTTTTGAAGTCCATGCATGAACTATACAAACCTTCATAATTTCTCAGGAATGCTCTTTTTTTTCTAACAAAGTACTTCTACCATGCTATACTATAAATTATTTCAAAAAAATCCTCTCACTTAATATCAGAAAATGTTCCAATGGAATTCAGTGGAAAATAAAAATTTATCAGAAACACAAGCTATATACTAACCAGATATCTTGATCATTTTCCCATTTATTCACGTAGACAACCATTCCTGCCCAAATTCTTTCATCAATAGTAGTTATGCAACTCAAAGTAACTGGATAGTTGTCACACCTTAACTTTAGTTTACCTACTTATAAGTTGGTTTATAATTTTGAAGATATATAGTCTTAATTAGTATTAAATTGAAGAAATACTATAGAATATATTTAATTATAATATTTGGAATATAAATATTGCACTATTATGATTTAGGAAAAAAGAACACGAGTAGATGTATGATAGTTAAATCAACAAAACCCATTTAAATAATAGGAAATATATTTTTTACATCCCATTGCCATTCCAATTTAAATAATTAAAACTTTTCATCCTCAATTAATCCAGATTACCATGTTTTCATGTCCTATTAGGATTATAATACTGTTCAGTCAGACTCAATCAAGTAATCTGTATTTTCCATATTCGAGTAAACTTAAAATCAAATTAATTTGTTTTTTAATTTAATAAGTTATTTTATAAAAAATGAAGAAATGAATTTTAAAGACCCATTAAAAGCTGTCTCATTAAAAATATAAAATGGAATCACTGGTTGTGAACTGAGTTAGGGTCTATGTTTCTTGGGTTATCAGTGTTATTATCAGATGGTAAATTGCAAACATTTTCCTAGAACATGTTTCTTCCTTTAAATTAGCTTGTTTACTTAAAAGAGACAGTATTATATAAAACTAACACACCAATATATTATTGTCTGCAAAAATGTTCACAAGAGGGTATTTGCTCTTTAAAACTTTTTAATCTTTTTATTCCTTCATCGTTTTAATTAAATGCATCATATTTTCTACCTTATTACCAATTAAAAGAACAAAAAACTCAACTCAATCCAACATAAATCTAAATAAATAACCAACCTAACCCTGTGGTATTGAGGCTACTGCTCTACACTTTATTGAAGTTATTGGATGGAGCCAAATTTCAGAGAAATCTTAATCTCTGAGCATGTTTTTTAATTGAAAAGTGTTAATATGGCATAAAGTTTTGTATAAACCTGTCATTATTTCTCTGTTCAGGTTTAGGTTAACCTGAACTCAGTTGAGCTGCTCATCCATAGTGACTTGTGAGCATGTCACTTGGTGTGTTAACAGCAGTGACAGAGTGACATCGCAGCTAGCTGGTTTACAAGAGCGCCTGTTCTTTACAGCTTAGCGGGAGGGTCATTAGCATATTCATGAGCACACAGGCTTGGTTTTATCAGTCAAAACTAAGTTAATTTGTCTTATATCCAAGCCCTGATTTCATACATTTTACAAGTGAGTATTAACTTGAACCCATAACTATTAGTTAACCTGAGACCATTACACAGATATTTGCATGAACCTCAATTTTGCTTCCCTTCCGAGGATAATTTGAAGGGAAAACTGGATCTTTGGTAAGTACTGGAGAAGAATAACGTTATAGCCAAAAATAAGGAGAATTAAAACTATTGGAAAGAATGTCATCAATACAAAACTTGTTTTCCCTTAATTTGGTAGTTATTTTCAAATGTGATGCAAACTAGAGGCTTGTTTTTACTCAGATAACACAAACCTAGTATTAGGGTAACATGCTTAAATATTTTGTTAATCAGTTTACAAATGTCTTCTTTAAAAATTTATTTTCAATAAAATTTTTTGGTTTTAGATCTTTAAGACATGCCAATATACTTTATTAGCTAAGGCAAAAATGTAACATAGATTTTTGTTTTTGAAATTTATATATGGTTGTTTGAATCAGTTGCCTGGAATGGAATACACTTTAGACAACTTCCATGTCGTATGTAGTAAGGACATACTACATATGCTACATTTAAAATGTGTTAAGCACAATTTCATTGAACTCCCAGCTAACTAAAATA